CAAAAAAATATCGATCTAAATAATATTTTGAATATTCAATGTGGTGTATATGAGTTATTATAACATATTTAACATATTTTTATTAATCGTAATTCATCTGAAAAAACAATATCTTCTATCCTAAGACAATGTGTTACACAAACTCTACTAGAACTTTAGGGTTTCATATGAGAGATCATACATTGTCAAGAAAACAAAAGATGTTAAATTTAGAGATCTTGGATTAGTTTCAATCCAAGATAATTGTTCATTGGGGTGATAATCAATATGTTTACAATTTTAACTTGTTAAATTTGTGAATTTCGATAAGGTGCGACGGTTTGACTAGTTTGACGGTGCGACGAGGCTGACGGTGCGACGAGTCTGACGGTGAGACGGTTTGTGCAAAAAAATATCGATCTAAATAATGTTTTGAATATTCAATGTGGTGTATATGAGTTATTATAACATATTTAACATTTTATATTAATCGTAATTCATCTAAAAAAACAATATGTTCTACCCTAAGACAATATGTTACACAAACTCTATTAGAACTTTAGGGTTTCATATGAGAGAACATGCATTGTCAAGAAAACAAAAGATATTAAATTTAGAGACCTAGAATTAGTTTCAATCCAATATATTTGTTCATCGGGGCGATAATCAATATGTTTACAATTTACAATTATTAAATTTACGAAATTCGATAAGGTGCGACGGTTTGACTAGTTTGACGGTGCGACGAGTCTGACGGTGAGACGGTTTGTGCAAAAAAAATATCGATCTAAATAATGTTTTGAATATTCAATGTGGTGTATATGAGTTATTATAACATATTTAACATGTTTTTATTAATCGTAATTCATCTAAAAAAACAATATCTTCTACCCTAAGACAATATGTTACACAAACTCTATTAGAACTTTAGGGTTTCATATGAGAGAACATGCATTGTCAAGAAAACAAAAGATATTAAATTTAGAGACCTAGAATTAGTTTCAATCCACGATACTTGTTCATCGGGGCGATAATCAATATGTTTGCAATTTACAATTGTTAAATTTGCGAAATTCGATAAGGTGCGACAGTTTGACTAGTCTGACAGTGAGACGGTTTGTGCAAAAAAAATATCGATCTAAATAATATTTTGAATATTCAATGTGGTGTATATGAGTTATTATAACATATTTAACATGTTTTTATTAATCGTAATTAATCTCAAAAAACAAAATCTTCTACCCTAAGACAATGTGTTACACAAACTCTACTAGAACTTTAGGGTTTCACATGAGAGGACATGCATTGTCAAGAAAACAAAAGATATTAAATATAGAGACCTATGATTAGTTTCAATCCACGATACTTGTTCATCGGGGTGATAATCAATATGTTTACAATTTACAATTGTTAAATTTGCGAAATTCGATAAGGTGCGACGGTTTGACTAGTCTGACGGTGCGACGAGTCTGACGGTGAGATTATGTGGTTCTTCTGTTAAGACCTTTTTTAGAGATTGAATATATCTTCACAATGAAGATGGAAATATGACGAAAGTGTGACTTTTTTGTTGAATTATGTTCATTCTTCATCTATTAACGCATTTTTTATAACACCAAATCTTCTGGAATCGAACCAAACTTAACTTTATAAAATTTCCGAAAATCGAAACTTTTTTAAGAAACTCTGATTTTTTTAACAAAAAACGAAACCGAACCGTAACAAAACTAGAACCCAACTGAATCGAATAATATAAGGTACTAATATCGTACCAAAACCAGAACCCACCCTTAATGCATACTATACATATTGATATATATATATATATACTTATTCGTAAATCATATTGGAAAATAATATAATCTATCCTAACCTAATGTGTTACAAAAATTGTACTAAAACTTTGGGATTTTTTTTTGGGAGAACATGCATTGTGAGAAACAAAAAGGTGTTAAAAACTGAGAGCTAGATTTAGATTCATCGTAAGATACTTGATGACTGAAGTGATAATTGATAAGTTTATAGTTTGCAGTAGCCAAATTTGCGAAAACCGATAAGGTGCGACGAGTTTGACGGGTACTAACGGTGTGTTGAGTTTGACTGGTGTGACGGTTTGTGAAAATAAATCGTTGGTCTAAATTAAGTTCTGATGCTTCGGTGTGGTGTATGGGGGTCATTATAACATATTTAACGATTTTTTGTTATCTGTAATTCATGCGGGAAAAAACTATTTCCTACCCTAAGCCAATGTGTTAGAAGACAAGTTTGACGAGTTTGACGGGTACTGACGAGTTTGATGGGTTTGACAAGACATGAAGATTTTACCCGATAAAATATATATGATTAAAAGGATGTTTGGAGAGTACACATGATTCAAATACAACTAATTAAAAAGAGGATCATGGATTCATGAAGAAGAATCTTGACGTTCCTCTGGAGGCACCGTTACTTCTTGACGTTCCTCATGGATTCCCTTTCTTCCCTTTCGACCTTTGGTTTATCTCTTTGTTCGTTGCTTTTTGGAAGGTGGATCTGTCGATCCAATGGCAATGTATGGACTTTTAACATCCTTTTTTCTTTTGCGCATCGGTCGTTTATTCTGTTGAACCGACTCCTTAGGAGTAGCAGGAACCTCCTCATGCATTGAAAAAGCCACATTCTCTTCTAAAAAACGAGGTCTCAACTCGAGCTCGGTGTTTGTGTTATAGTAACTACCCGTTGAAACATCATCATCTTTGTTGCGCTTTATCTCAGACCAATCTTTTGCTTCAACGGTGATTCATGTCTTCTTCAGAACCCTTTCAATTTTTTCAATTATTCTTCTTTCGATTTTTTCAGTTAACCGAATAGTTTCATATGGTTAACACTTTATTGTAATCTTGGGAGCATGATGAATGTCTTTCAAATCATATACAAAAGGAACCTGCAAAAATAAAATTAACACTCATTATCAGTTTTGTTTGACCGGTGTGACCAGTTTTATCATATTAGTCAAACTCGTCAAACTGGTCACACCTTTCAAATGCAATCAGTGTGACTAGTATGACCATTTTGTATGCGGCCAGTGTGACCAGTATGACAACATTACTTCATCATTAGTTTTACTAGTATGACGGTGTGACTACTTCACTAGTATGACCGGTGACAGGTATACCCAGTTTGATAAAACTAGTCAAACTCGTCACACCCTTGAAGTGCGACTAGTGTGACGAGTATGACCACTATGGTAGAAACCAGTGTGACCAGTGTGACGGTGTGACGACTTCACTGGTATGACCATTGACGGGTGTACCTAGTTTAATATGACTAGTCAAACGTGTCACACCCTTCAAGTACGACCAGTGTGACGAGTATGACCATTACGATACTGATAGAGACAAAACTCTCATATGACTTGATTTCAAACCGAAAACCTAATTTTCCTTAACTGTAAAACTCGAATACTATAACTCATTCGATTAAGATCTTGTCTACCGTAAATATTTGTCCAAGTACACATATATCAAATTAAAAAAAAACTAACTTTTTCGGTGATATATAATGAAAACTTTACTTGAAAATCTTCGCAAATAAAAGTCGAAAACGATGAAGACGAAGCCATTTTGAAGTGAAGAGAAAAAATCGCACAAGAAATCGCCAATAAAATTGGCTGGAGAATGTCCGTCAGAGAAAAATCGTGAAGAAGAGAGGAAGAAGAAACTGAACAGTTTTTTTAACTTAATAATTTTTTATTTGACAACTACCCATTTTTTCTCTCTCTTTTGTCATCTTCATTCAGATTATTACACGTGTAGTTTTTTAAAAGGGTAGGATTGTCTTTTTAATGTTTTTCAATTTTTTTTTGAAACCCTAACTGTTCAAGGGTATGTCTTGAAGTCCATGTTACGTTTTAAATGTATATTTGTAATATCCCCTTTTCTAATGATGTGACATATTTGCCACAGTTTACCAATTGCCCCTTAATTTTATTTGGTTGGATTTCATTGAATTCAATTCGATTTTGTATTATAATCAAATTAAAACTAAATAAAAATTTAGTTCAGTTATAATTTTTAAAAAATAATTTATTTATAATAAAAATATTCAAACAAAATATAAAATAAAATATACCATAATTATATTAATTATAAAATATAAAATCTAAAATTTATATTTTGATATGAAAATAAAAATATTATAAAAATATTTTGGATTTTGAAAAATCATAATCATTCTTTTATTCGATTGAGTTCAATTAATAATCAAAATATTTTTATTCGATTCGATTCAATTAATAACTAAAATAACCGAAACAATGTACTTACTTTTCAATATATGATTTACATAATAATCTTTTTTTTAATTATTACTTGATTCACATCAAAGATACCATATATATATATATGAATAATACAAAAAGGTCATGAAATTATCGAGATAATAATAATGAAATTAGAACTAGAGAACACATAATATATGTTTTATCTCGTAATATATAAAAAAAATCATAAATGTGTCTACAATGTGATTTATGTAACCATTAATTTTATTTGGTATGAAGAAGAAAGATTAATTATAGAAAACGAAAAAAATTTATAAAAAACGAATGAGTATAGTTTTGATTAAATAGAAATAACCAAATCCGAATAAAACGAACTTATCCGAACTAACGAACACGCGAATGCATCGATTCTTTTACAAGAAGACATCATGAACCTATTCAGAATCATCGTCTCCAAATTTCTCCTTAGACAAATCGATGCAATATGCTCCAAATTTCTTTGGAAAAATTCTCAGACAAGTACCGGAACAGCGAGAGTTGCATGGAACATTATTTGTAGGCCTCGGAAGGAAGGAGGATTGAACATCAAGAAACTTGAAGAGCTGAACAAAGTGTTCAGACTGAAAATGGTTTGGAGGGTTTTCAAGGATGCGAGTTCACTTTGGGTTGCTTGGCTAAAGAGGAATGTGCTGAAAAGAGGGTCGTTTGGGACACTGTGCCTACTGCTCGACATTCGTGGAATGTAAGGAAGCTATTGAATATGAAAGACCTCGCCGGAAAGTTTATCAGATGCAGAATTGGTAATGGAAACATGGCATCTTTCTGGTTCGATAATTGGACTGACCTAGGACCTTTGCTTGATTATATTGGTAGTGATGGCCCTAGGCTGCTAAGGATCCCTCTAAGTGGAAAGGTCAGTGATGCTGTCTCGGGACAGAGCTGGTTGTTACCAGGTGCGCGATCTCAAAGGATCAAAGACCTTCACATAAGACTTCTAACACTACCAGCACCAAGTCAAGCTGCAGGTGAAGACATATATGAGTGGAAATCAGCGGAAAACGTGTACACTCAGAAGTTCTTAGCATCAAGCACATGGAAGCTACTTCGAGAAGTATCACCACAAGTGGACTGGGCAAAGTTGGTATGGTTTAAGCAAGCGATACCAAGGTACTCATTTGTCCTTTGGATGGTGATGCAGGGTAGGATGCCAACACGCGATAGATTGCTCAGGTGGAATATTATACAGAATTCAACTTGTGTCCTATGTAATGAGGAAGAGGAATCACACGACCACCTCTTCTTTCAATGTCGTTTTAGTGCTGAAACATGGCAGGAACTCGCATCGAAGATTTGGAGAAACCCGCCAGCAAACCTCTCAATGTGCCTCTCTTGGATGGAAGCAATCCCACAGTCTGATGGTCTCAAGCGAAACATTCTTCTAAAAATTCTCATACAGCACGCTGTTTACGAGGTATGGAAGGAGCGGAATTCCCGCATCTTTTCAAATGTCTTTGCAACTTCCCATGTCATGCGCTCACGTATCGATCAATCAGTCAGAACCACCCTCCTGTCGCTGCAACAGGTTCGAGAAAGTGAAAGCAACATTTTGCTTCAAAACTGGTACTCACTTCTACTGTATGCCATGGCGTAGACAAAGGAAATATAGTTCTGCTGTAATAGTTGTATTCCTTCGAGGCTGCTCTAGCGAAAGTTTTTTTACGTAGATTTTTATCCTGTACTATGTACCCCAATTTTCAGTAATACAAATCAAATTACATTAAAAAAAAAAAAATCATCGTCTCCTGGATGTCGGGGGAATTCAAAGGGCCTTGAGACGACGAATTGACATGGCCCATCGACTTCGCTGGCACTGTTTGATGGGACCCAAGACGGATTGACCACGTGATTGTTCGCTTCTTCCTCATCTTCGTTATTATGTCACATGCAAGTAAAATTTCCGAACAACAAATTACATTTTCGGTAAACATGAAGGATATGGATGGTTGGGGCTTTTAGAGGTTTTGGATTTTTTTTTTTTTAAAAAAATAATCAATCGAATTTTTATAGAGATAGTTTTTCTAAAAATTTGAAAAACCATTTTGATGAAAAAATCAACTAAAAAACTTCCTTTTATTAATTTTTTTAAAACCAAAAACTAAAAAAAAAATAAAAATAAAAACTATTACCGTTCAAAGTGTAAGGTTTTTAATTTAAAATTTGAGTAGGCTTTCGCAAACAACCGTTGGTTATTCTTTGAACCAACTCGTTTTTGGATGAAATGATTTTATTTATTTTTCAACTCGTACAAAAAAGGGATTGACAAACAAATTCGTTATGAGAAACCACGAGTAATCTGAAATCTTTTTTTTTTTCTTTTGTTCTCATAATTCACTATGTGATAAATTTATAATAACAATGAATTCTAAATCTTTATAACTTTATTTTGATATCTTTCTTACTATTTCTATAATTATATATATATTTGTATTTTTAATTCCTTATTTTTTATTCGTATTTTACTTTTATTTATGTTATTTTGTTACTTCAAATATATTTAAAATATGATTTTTTTATATATCAAAATTTACTATGAGACAAAAATATATTTTGAATTTACAAATGCCTTTTAAATTGGACCAATTGAACAAAGTAAGAATGTCAAAATGAGTCTGGTTTGCCAGCCCGCTTACGAGTCATCCAATATTTTTTCGAGTTGAATTCAGAAAATTTGAGACAGAAAAAAAAACTCGTCACGAACCCATTCCACCAACCAAAAAAATATTTTTTTTGATTTTTCATATTTTTAAAATATTTTTATATTTTTTATATTTAAATTGCATTTTTAATAAATATTTGATTTGTTTTGTTTAAAATTTTATTTTTTAATGTTTTATAATATTTTTAGTATTTAAATTTTGATTTTTAGTTAGAAATTAGTGAGTCCATTTGTTTGGCTTATGATTTAAAATGAGTTAGAATACATCAACATCAACATCGCCTTAGTCCCAAGTTTATTTGGAGTCGGCCGCATGTATTCTTCGTTTCCACTCATTTCGGTTTTGCGTTATCTCTTTCTAAATTTATAACAAATCCAAATCGTTCTTAATTACACGTTCCCAAGTAAGCCTAGATCTACCCTTTCCCTTTCTTTTCACCTCGATTCCTATACCCTCCACTTTTCTAACCGGCGCATCCATCGCCCTATGTTGTGCATGTCTAAACCATCTTAAACGTCTATCTCTTAACTTCTCTTCTATACTTATTATACTTATTTTCTCTCTAATAGTCTCATTCCTAATTCTATCCATCCTTATGTATCGGCACATCCATCTTAACATCTTCATCTCGATCACACTATCATTTTAGACATATGTTGTCCTTTTGCCACCTAACATTCGCTACCATACATCAATGCGGGTCTTATGGCGGTACGGTAGAATTTTCCTTTCAACCGTAAAGGGACCTTACGATCGCAAGGAACCCCCATTGTTTGTCTCCATTTTATCCATCCCGCTTTTATCCCGTGAATGACATCTTCGTCGCAACCCCCATCCTTTTGAAGGATTGACCCAAGATACTTCAAATGCGGGTTTTGAGGAACTGATCATCCTTCCAAACTAACTCCTCCATCACTAGAATCCCTCTCACTAAAATCGCAATGCATATACTAGGTTTTCGTTCTACTAAATCTAAAATCCTTAGCCTCTAATGTACTCCTCCATAATTCTAATTGTCCATTTACTCCTTCTCTAGACTCATCTACTAGCACGATATCGTCTGCGAACATCATGCACCACGCTACTTCTTTCTGTATATCTCTAGTTAATTCGTCCATGACTAATGCAAAGAGGTAAGAGCTTAGAGCGGACCTTTGGTGCAACCCTATCGAGATGGAAAAATTTCGCGTGTCACCCTCTTCTGTTCGGATACTAGTGGTCGCACATTCATACATATCCTTCAACACTTGTATGTATCTCACTGATACCCCTCCACGCTCTAACATCCGCCATAAAACCTCTCTTGGTACTCGATCATAAGCTTTTTCGAGATCAATAAATATCATGTGCAAATCTTTCTTCATATCTCGAAACTTCTCACTACAAAAACACATTCAATTAGCAATGAAATTAGCAACGAAATATATTTCGTTGCAAAGTTAGCAACGTTTTGTAATAAAAACATTTTTGCAACGATTTTGCAAAGCTTTGCAACGCAATATTTTCGTTGCAAATTAGCAACGAAATTTTTCGTTACAAAGCATTGCTAAAGCGTTGCAACATCGTTGATAAATCGTTGCAAATTTTTTTTTACTACAATTCAAATGCTTTGCAACGCAAAAATATCGTTGCTAATTTGTAACGCAATTTTTGCGTTGCAAAATCGTTGCAAAAATCGTTACAAAAAAATTATTGCAATTAGCAACGCTTTGCAACACAATAATTTTGTTGCTAATTTGCAACGAATTTTTTGCGTTACAAAGCGTTGCAAAATCGTTGCAAAATATTATCATTTAAATTAATATGATTTGACTTTCGAAAAAATAAATACAGAAATTTGCAACGCAATCCAATTAGCAACGAAATTGCGTTACAAATTTAAAATAAATTTGTGGCTATGATTGATTATGGTTTTCATGCATTTTGCAACGAAATTTCGTTGCTAATTGGATTTCCAACACAATTTCGTTGCAAATTAGCAACGAAATTGTGTTGCAATGTTTTTCTATATATTCAACATCCAAACACAATCCATCAACAATTTCTCACTCTAAAAATTATCTAAAACCTCTCTCTATCCCCAACTCTTAAAAAAAGTCAAATAAAAATATATTTTATTATTTTTATTAAATATTTATTTTATTATTTTTGTTAATTATTTATTTATAAACTTTAATTTATAACTTTTAAATAAACTTTATAATTCTACAAATACATATATATTTTTATTATCTTTATTTAATATGTATATTATTTTTATTTAATATTTTTATTTATTAATATTTTTTAATTATTTATTTTTTAAATTTTAATTTAATTTTTCTAAAAAATCTGAAATTCTAAATTGTTTTTTATTTTTATATTAATTTTAGCAACGAAATTGTGTTGTTAATTTTGCAACGCAATTTCGTTGCAAAATTAGCAACACTTTGCAACGCTTTTGCAATGAAATAATTGTGTTGCAAATAGCAACGAAAATATTTCGTTGCAAAGCGTTGCAAACCCTGTTTTGCAACGAAATTTATAGGTTTGCAACGAAAAATTTTCATTGCTAAAAGACTGTTTTTTTTGTAGTGTCTCCATCAAGTTACGAATGAGAAGGATCTTCTGGGCATAAAACCAAATTGATTTACGGAAATAGATGTGTCGCTACGTAAACGTCGCTCCACAATCCTTTCCGACAACTTCATGGTATGACTCATGAGTTTGATTCCTCTATAGTTTGTGCAACTCTGGATATCTCCCTTATTTTTTAAAGATAGAGACTAAATGCATCGTCTCCATTCATTTGGCATCTTCTTCGACACTAGTATTTTATTAAACAACCTAGTAAGTCAAATTGCTCCTACTTCTGCTAAGCACTTCCATACCTCGATAAGGATATTTTATTAAAATGAGTTAAAATTAGGTAAATAATTTTTGACTCGCCAAAAAATGGTCGTGCTGAACTGGATTAAAAAAAATCTAAGATCGGAACGGGAATGATTGGCCAAACCGTTTTACACTCTTTTTTTATAAACAGGATGGTTTCCCGGGCATTCGACCCGACTTTGTCATCTCTTAGCCACTAGACCACCAACTGTTGGGTATTCAACCCGTTTTACACTTGAACTTGTTTAAAAAGCGAAGTTGACTAATTTATATTCAAAATCAAACGATTGGTCGGATTGGTATGGACCAAACCAAGACTTGTGAGAGATGGTCGTGTAACACTTCAAAATGTTACAAGGTCAAACGACTTTATTGTTATTTAAAAAATAAATAAATAACTAACCCCCAAATTGAATTGAACTAAACTGAAATATATTTCATACATGAATCGAAGATACCAACTTCAAACAAAAACAAAATAGCAGAATAACTTCAAACGAACTGGACCAGACAAAGTTTGTTTTATATTCAACACGGTTCGTCTTTTTTAATTCAAATGATTTTGTTTAGAAATAAAAACAAACTGAACGGAACCTCTAAACGTCTCGGTTTCGGTTTTTGGTTCGGTATTCAAACGGTTCGGTTCGAAAATATTATTTTCGGTTTTATAAAACTGTTTGAAACTAGAATCGAATGTTAAACTGTTCGGTTTAGAATGGTATCGTTATATGAATACCAAATTAAGTACTAAACCATAATATTTATACACATATTGGTGGATAATTCGAATTTTTTTTGGGTATTTGTCGGGTTCGGGTTCAGAACTAAATTCCCGAACGGAAGTTTCCATTCCTAACAGAATGCCTACTTAAGTTTGTTCTATCACGACGCCATTTCTTCCAAACCCAAATTAAATAAACCGATTCGAGTCTCAATTTGGTCACTTTTCCTCATCTATAACTAACCAAACTCTTGAGAAGAAAAAAAAGAAGACCGGACTGAACAAAATCTAGTATAATTTCAATCCGACTATGCTTGCACATTATTATCTTATAGATAATAT